CTCATCAAGCATTATTCTCATGTCATGATCTGCCTTAATCAAAATTTATCATCAGTTTTTCTGGTTTGCGAAGTTGAATCATATTTATTATTTATCGAGAAATTTATCCCGCTATTCGGTTTAACATTTCTTTAAATAAAGTAGTAAAAATCGTTACCGCTCAGAATGACTCGTTGGTTAGGATTTGTGGCAAAATGGTAACAGCAATTTCCGCGAAATCTAAATTTATTACGCTACACTCTTAAATGTAGAAATGGGGTTACGAATATAATAAAAAAGTAAACGTAGGTATATGACGTGGTTATGAATTTTTCACCAACTGGTTGTAAATTCATCATCTCTGGTGACCATTGAATACGGTGTGGGTAAAACTTTATAATTAGTCGCTGACAATTGGAACCACTCGATAACAAATTTATATCCACGGCGGTAGAGTCACATACATACGTTTATTTTTTGGTTATGAGCGTAATCCCGTAATAAAGAGTGTATCCGTTACTGGATAGTAACAAATTTAAATCTCTGGTGTCCGACTGTTACGTGGACATCCCAAAAGGGACAGAGCGGACAACATGGAAGTAAATATGTATGGTTTACGAAAATCACATTTAAACCCATTTATTTATTGGTGATATTGATAAATTGTTCACTACATATGCAGTATTTAAGGAAGTCCTATAATTCAATCAGTTGTGTTACTTTTTACTGGTTGTTTTGAACAATATATTTGTGTTATTATTGATGGTAGAAATTTATAAAATATATATATAGAGACACAACTCCTTTTTAACCTAACGTCGTTATAACATGTTATAAACCCTGCTTAGTTGTTCTGTTGCTCATAATAAACACCAATATTTGTATGGAAACCTGACCAGGTTTCCATACAAATCGGGAAACACCAGTGTTTCTCGATTTTTGTGGAAACCTCGACTCTGAAGTTCATTTCTTAAACCACCGGCCGTCACAAATTACAAACTTATTGATTAAGTAATTAAAATTTTATTTCTTTCCAAAAATACAACAATCTTCCTACCAAGTTCTCAAACTATCGCCCGGTTCGGACGGGCTTATTCGCTAGTTTTCTTTAATAGCATTTGAACTAGGTAAGGTCTAGTTCGATATTGAAATTCGGTAGTCTGTCTAAAACGTCACGTTTAAAACTTAAACCACCAAACTTAGCAATCCATGCATTTCTCGAATACAAATTTAACTGAGGATCCATTACCTTACTCGGTTAACAATAGATGAATTAATTATGAATTTATACGCAAGTGTTATAGATATTTGAACTTTTTATTCACGTTGGTATCAATCAAATTAGCCAATATTATACGAAAGTATTTATTTGTTATGTCAAATGCTTAAGACTTTAGGTGTTCAATAAATTTGAGATGGAAAATTTATCATTGATAACAGTATTCACACATTAATATTCACAATTGTTGAAAGAAATGATTAAATGATGTTCGTATGCCACATGCTTCTCAACCTGTCATACAGCAAGTTATGAATTATTTAATACGTGATATGCAATACAACTTAATACGTATCCAAGAAATTTTAAACGAGTAATTAAAAACTAGTCACGGCCTTGATTCATTTAAAAGGCGATGCAATCTTCCAGTTCAAATCACAATTCAGTTCACTGAAAATAACCTTGTAATAATTTATTACCGCACGGAATGAATATACTGACTGCTCTATCGCGCTGGTTAGGATTTGTCGCAAAAATGGTAACAGGAATTTTCCCGAAATTCCGATTTAGCAGAATTTTGTTTTTTACCATTTTCTAACAAATCCTATCCAACTCGGTAGAGCAGTATACTCATTCCGTGCGGTAATGAATTATTACAAGGTTATTTTGAAACTATTCCAGATTTCTTTCCTTTCACCCTTGAAAAAATGTACACCTTTGCCATCATCGGATTTGCCACCCTCCTCAACATTGTTGGTAATAATGTTTTAAATTAAATTTTTAAATGGCCATTGCTCTTCAATAACCTTTATTTTTGTGTTAAATAACCTTTAACCTTGTCCCTCACGAGCGGAGGAAAAGTTTCGGGTTTGCACATTTTCCCAGTCTCAATCGAAACTTCGCATCGACCCTGTGGGGAAGAGGAATTGACGTCAGGGTTCATAATAGTGAAATGTGCTGCATTTCTCCTTCTTCGTCTGATGGTATTTTTTCAAATTTTTTGGTCTGGCGGTTGGTCCTCAACATCCTTTACCATGAAGTGAAGTAACCTTATGTGGACTGGTAAAGGATGTTGATGTCGACCAAAAAATTTGAAAAAATACCATTAGACGAAGAATGAGAAATGCAGCACATTCCACTATTATACACGGACTCCAAAACTTCAATAATTTTGTTCAAAAATATTTTGGGTTGAATCCTACTGTTTTGAGACCTTTAAACTCATCTTACACCCAAACTATAACGGCTAAAATTCTGAAACTTGGTAGGTAGCATCTCTGATAGTTGCTTAACAATAATCAAGGGCCAGTCTCACTTTCCCCCGACAGTGGGTATGGTTGGTCCTCCAGGGGTGTAACCTGCTAAAAACATTTTTTACGTATTCTTTGGATCACAAATGTCCAGAAAATATATATATATTCAGTAGGATTCAACCCAAAATATTTTTGAACAAAATTGTTAAGGTTTTGGAGTCCGTGTATTATGAACCCTGACGTCGACTCCTCCTCCCCACAGGGTCGATGCGAAGTTTCGAGATAGGCACAGGGAAGGTTGACATTGGGAAAATGCGCAAACCCGAAACTTCTTCGCTCGTGAGAAACAGCGTTAATCGAAGCATTCTTAATATTTTTCAGTCATTCATGGGGAAACCTGCCAGTCTGGCCCGTACCACAGTGAACCTTGTCCCCCCTCTGGATACTGTCCACCCGGGACTACCCGGAATGACGGCTTGGAACAAAATTGCTATTGCATACGACTTTGGACGGCTGACGAGAAAGCAAATCAATCTAATTGCCAATGCCAAAATTTCTTACGTCAATGCAAACACGTTGTGGGGGCGGTTACTCGTGCCACCGAGCCATAGAAACTTGTTCGGGAGAAGACCTGCGAGAATTTTGCAAAGCAAACCCCACCTACTATTTCTGCGAGGGGGACAGCCAAGTTGACAAAGCAATTTGTGCCGCATTGTACACTCCGTATTGTAAAAAAACAACACGAATTTGCTAAATCAAACTAACTGTCTTATGACGGGTGTCAAGAATTGCACTAATGACGAACTTGGCAAAGTTTATTGAGCCCTTGGGCGCGAAGAATGCCGTAAAGTTTTCGAAGATTTTCTGAAAGTTAAATTAGGACGATTGGATGAGTTAGTTTCGAATATAAAGTTCCCAATTAAGGAGCCAGTTAAACCAGAAATTTCAGATCTTCTTGATCCAAAAAGCACTTTCTCCATTGTCGTATTTCACACTGAATGTAACGGATTACAGACCACCCGTTTTTTGCCTTCCATAACGCTGGTTGAGAAATAAGAATACATGGCATTAACTTATTTATGCATATACACATATCCATGTAGTCAATCAAGCGTTAACACTGTAATTATGTTCGTCTGAATAAAACAAAATAAGTGTCATTATGTACCACAAATTATTTTCGCACGTGTTAATTTAATCTGGTCACGGGTAAATCTGCTTCACATTCTTGTTTGGAATGTTTGAAATCATAATTCATGAAGATTTCAAAATGACATTTCTTAAGGAAATAATATCTTAGATTTTTCATAACAAACTAAAATTTATTTTCTGGTTAATTAAAAAAGTTGACGAGCTGCTAACAAAATTTCGAATTACTAGCGACAACTTTCATATTACTAAGGGCTTATCTTGCTAATCACATGTAATATATGTAGATCAATACAAGCAACAGGAGAAAATCAGTGCAGTTTAAAGTTTTCAAAATATGTGACAGTATCTCCGAACCAAACGACGTGATTTTTGAATCTTTGCTTTATCTCATTTCAAAAGTTTTTTTTAGTTTCCTAAGTTTTATGTGTCGACTAAAATTAAACGAGGATTAAGATATAATGCATTTCGTTCAGAAGATAAGCAACAAACATTGCACACAAATTTCAATATATAACGGGGTGAGAGCATTCATGTATATATACATATATCCATCCAGGACAAAAGGCAGGGATGGAGAACAAAGAAATTCCTCCAAACTTCACTCACCTGCAATTAACCACAGTGTTCCATGCCACAGTTCCATGCACAAATCTGTCAATCAAAACCCAGAAAGGTAAGAATACGTTTTTTAAAATTCTTTTGTTCTTATCATACCTGTAGTTTTCTTAGTCGTATGACCAATGAGTCACCCAGACCACACCTTGCTTCTCTTTCCAACTTTCTCCTACTTGTTTCTTCCCGACTCGTTAAGATTCATTCGTATTTGAAGCAAATTTAGTCATTTAAAAAATTTTGAAGCCGTGTGAATACAAGATTGTTGTTTCCACATGACTTAAAAATATAAATTTCACCAGTTAAAGTAACAAAACCTTGTCTCAATTCGAGATGTATTAGTTATTTGTTTAGTTGGTATTATGTGGACAATTATCTTTTCTCTGCATGGTGTAAATTATTAGATACGTTGTGACCGCGGAGGTCGGCGAGGATATTGAACTTGAAATCCCCAAGACGACGAAAGGTCACGCAGCCAAGATAATTTTTACTAAGTATATGACTCAAAAATGTGACGTGGTGAAGGTGAAAGTAGTCACAAAACTTTCCCTTGCGTGTGTATTTTTCTAAAATAGTTTTTCTAACATATTTCAACCATATTGTTTCAACAAATTCTTAACTCGCCTACATCCAAATTTGTTGTTGAAACATGACATGAAAAATGTGGAAATGAAAGTATCAAAACCTAATCACAATTTGAGGTGTAGCAATTATTGAACTGAAACAATGTAGACAATTATCTCAGGATAGTGTTAACTATAAATTAAGTTAATTACTCGGAGATCATGGATGTCGAAGGGGGTATCGAAATGCGACCTGCCCAAGAAGACAAAGGCTCTCGCGAGGTCTGCCGGCACATTCAGCGTAGCTCTTATCCCAGGCTGGTTGATATGTTTAAACGACGATGGAGAAATCTCCGCATCCGGTGGCAAAATTTGATGAAGTTTGAACCATCCCAGGAAAATGCGTGCGTCCGAATTCTTCACAAAGTTCCCGGTTTAAGGCAAAGTGCTAAGGCTGGATTGCATGTTTTGGCAAGGTGAGAAACAAAGTAACTTACATAATTACTCACATTTTATTTTGAATCCTCTTAGCACAGTTTGAGGAATATGTTAAATATTTATCTGCATGTAAAAATTGACATAATCAAGATATAATATGCACATCTTGCATATAGATTGTGATCTGCATTATATGAGTAGGATTATAATTCGAACTTTCTACTGGTCATAGTCACAATACAGATTAACTGCTGCAGGTCTTAACTGCATGACGTTTACAGTATTCACAAGGTTCCCCTTCTGGCGTGTTAATTTGTTGTATGCATTTCATTTTGAACTTCATACAATCTTGCTCATGAACTGCGAAATGCCGACCGTTGAGGCACCTGTAACGACCCTCTGGAGCACATTTAATCGTACTGTTGTGCGGTTTTAATTCACGGCCACAAAAATAGAGGAAGGTTCCTGTTGTATTCTTGTTGTGAGGACACAAGCAGCCAGATTCAGAATCATATTTATGTATGTTTTCGAGAAACTCGACATCATTTTTCAGCTCCTCGTCGATTGGTGCAATTCCTCCCAACGTTATTAAACAGATGAATAGCCCCAGGGTTGAGTGAAGCTTCATTTTAGCATAGAATTGGGAAATATTTCTGAAAAACATATGTACACAAAATTTGTATTATAAATATGGATTAACTTTAAAGGTTTCTGTGGAAAATCATAACAAGCTCTAACCTTCAAGAATTCCCCTAATTTTTTCTCAGCTTTTGAGATTCACGGACTCTTCAAGTTGGATATCTGGTTTACTCTGTGCAGAATTGGATAATAAGCATGAATCATAAATTACATTTCTTTTTGTTTCAGGGCCTTCTGGTTGCTCGTGTTTGTATTGTGCGTAGGCATTGTTTTTTACATCATCCGGGAAGGCATTCGGAGAACAATGGGTCATCCACTGACTGTTACGTTCGAAACAGAGGAAATAAACATTGGAGATGCTAAATTTCCGCAAGTCGGCATTGGCCCATATAGTGGATTTAAATTGTCCTCCGTTTATGATGTCCTAGGGTTGGTTTATATCTGAATTTTATGCGTCCTTGTATGCTACTAATTATGCATAATTTCGCACACATATAGAAAGCAAAGGGCGGTGAGAATTGGTGTCAAGGTCGTGGCAAACGATGGGTCGGCATGGAGCAAGAATGACGTGGAAGGAGTAATGAAGGTCATCGACCACGGTTGTGATGGGGGTGCGATATTTGCTAACAAGAATAACGTTAAAATTTCCGACAATGAGCATAGCAGTTTCGCCAAGACCAGGGAACTTTTGGAAACTCATGTGGACAACATTACAAATCCGGGCGTGCAGCAAAGAGTTATTCCGTTCATAAAGGAGGTAGTTAAGTACAATTAAATATATAATCAAAATCAGAATAATAAATTTGCCAACAATTGTTAATTCTAGGGAATGATAAAATGTGCCGATACCATTAAAGGATGCCTCTTGAATGGGAAAAGTTATAATTGCAGTCTCTTATTTAAAGAACACTTTTCTGCTTGGGGAAGTACCTGTGTCTTCAACGGGATTCCTGTGAAAGCGACACGGCGGTATTCATAAATGATTTTATTATTTCAGGCATTTATATAATATGTAAACATAATCTTAATCCCATCCTGATTTTCACAGCTATTCAACAATTCAATCCGAACTGGGTGGAAGCACGAATGAGGAAATCAAAATGTGGGTTGACGCCGATTTAGACGAAGATGTTGCAAATGTTAACAGGAAATTCGACGCAAAACGCCCTGCGATACCATGGAGGCAAATGGCACCAGGTAAATTATCTGGACTCACGTTCGCCATAAAAGAAGAGCTGGACAGAAAAGCCTGTATTCACGGCGAAGGCACCGGGTTTACGGTAAGCTGATAGTTTACAGCAATATCGTATAGACGAATCCATTATAATATTTCATTTGTATACAGTTGGCGTTAAATAATCCCCGGGACGAGGTACAAGTAGAAAGATTTGTAGTAACACTGCCGTATGGCCGTGAGATCGACGTTACTTTATATCCTGAAGTCCTCCTCGCCGAGAAGGATGCCAAAGACGTTGCTATGGTTAGAATCATAAAACATCTAAAGAATATTTTCCACTAATAATAAACATAATTGCTTCTGAAGAACCGGCGCGGCTGGTACCTCAGCGACGACAAAGGTGAAGCGCTTCTGGATTTCTACAAAAAGTATTCCAGACAAAATTGTTTGGAGGAATGTTTCGCCAAAGCAGTTTATGAAAAATGCAAATGCGCAAAAGTCTCATCTCCTGGTAACCAACAAACTGAGTTGCCCAATATGTAACTTTCTTACAGTATTATTTTTTAGGATTACCAGGGAGAACTTTATGTTCATATGATGATTTAAATCTTTGCGTCCAAGAGAAAGAAGGTATATTGATAAGCTTACTAATTAAGATGGGCACAGCAAAAAAATGTTATTTGTGCATGGTACACATAGAACAAATGCATAACCAAGGATTGAAACTTTCGTGCCCAAAGTGTTTGCCCAATTGTCGCGACATTAAATACCGGACATCGGTGACCTCGAGCCGAATGACAGAGAGCCGCATGAATGATTATCAGGCTATGTATGATGGCCCGATTGATATGTATGTGGATTAAAATATGCACATAACCACCAAACAGATCAATCTTTAAAAATGTGTCATGTTTAGGGGAGACTCGGAATTTAGGATTTCAGTTGTCAACGTCTTCTTCATGGTAGACTCGATCCATCCGACTCGAAGAAGTGCAAGATACAGTACCTTCGAAGAAGTTGGTAAGGTGTACCCAATCATCTTGATAAAGTTTCAAAGATAACTTGTTTTTAATTCTGATCAGGCCTTGTTGGTGGGACAGTTTCCATGATAACTGGCTTAACCTTGTTGGACATAATTGAGGCTCTCGTACTAATCGCGGTAATAGCCGTTGCAAAGTACAAGGTGTGGAATAATCTTCGAACTATGGGAGGCCCAAGTTGTAAGTAACCTGCGCCAGTTTTATACAGATGAAGAGAAAATTGCTTCTTAACAGATTTTATTCATATTTTGCATATTAATTATTTTCAGTTAATTAGACCCTGTCGATTCCCAAGTTCCTGAGAGGGAATAATAGGGTGGCTCCTGAGGAAATAAAGATGGAGACAGTCCAACCGCCACCTGTCGAAAGGCCACAAAGGTCAGCATTGGCACGCCCTCCGTTCCATCTATGCGAGAATTTGCCTGAATTTATTCCCTAGATCATGAATCCGAAAAATCGTCTGAGAACATAACCTAAGGTAATTTAACTAAAATTGATTGATATAATGAATCTGAACATTGAATCATAATAGTTTACTACATAATTGCTTAGCGCTGATGCAAAAACATAATAATTAACTTATTGTTATGTCACAAAACCCATGCATGATTCCCTTCCTACAAACTCAGCTTAAATTTGCTTGCATTGTAAAATTTTAAACAATAGCACAAAGTAGCGTTGTAAATAGGTATTGTTCTTTTTACTGAGGAAGTGACGCAGTTACGTAGTAGTTACTTTACTTTAGTGTGGTGAGGAAAAGTTGATAAGTGACGTTGAATCGTTAAAATTAAGGAGAAATTGCTTATTTCAGCATCACAATAATACAAACTATGCGTAGATTTATATCTGCTTCTATTAGGGATAAATGTAACAAAAAAATCAGAAATACTTTTAAAAAAATATTAGCTAGCGAACAAGGCACTTAAATTGACATTAGCTGTTACGATTATAAAATAATGCAGAGAATGAATAGTAAAATAGTTCTTTTGACAATCGCTCGAATTAAATTCACCGATTCAATCTTCTATCTGCCAGATATTGTCTAGGTTGACCGCAAAAATTTATTAGAAACAAATTGAATGAAATTGCATCCAAAAAATTGTGCATATTTTTTGTCTGAATACGGTACAATTATTTTATCCTAAAATATTTAGGTAAGATTATTTTACATCAACACATTGAGTTTCATAAAAACCATGCGGTTTGAGTACCCGAGGTTTTGACCTATTTTACGTTGACGGCAAAACACGACTTAAATCATTACCCTCAAATAGAATACTGTAATGACGATTTGGCTACACGTTAAATTATAAATTTACCATTATGTAAAAATTATTCATGCAGCTATGTATAAAGTATCCTGCTTGGCTTCAAAAATAAAAAAAGTTAGAATTTGGCCATGCACCAGATAAGCAAATGATATGCACAAAAATATGAAAATATGAAAATTTGCACGAATTGTAAGTCCATACTTGAAAGAAAAAAATATTCGTCTATCGATAAGTGTATTTCATGCACATTTACTACTGGTTAGTATGTAGATGCATATGTAGTTGTGTATAAATAGTCACAATTGACTAAGTCATAATTTTAAAGTAATTTAAGCACTTCAAATATTTCACAGTCTTCACATACTAGATAATTATGCAAATTACACTGGTCGCAAAGCTCTCGATTAAATATTTCACTAACTTGCAATTACTTACGATAACGCATTGATATCTTGCTGTTACTTTTTTATATAAATATAATTTCGTTTCAGTATTAGCATGACTTTTGGGTTAATCATGTGGTACTTTTGTGCTTCTGTGAATACCGATAAGTTAATATTTGCATAGTTTTTAAGTTTAAACTAAATTAAGTACATTTCTATTTAAACCTTATTCACTATATAGATAAGTATGTATGATTTGATATTCCGATGCACATCACCTGCTAGAAAAAAAAACAATAAATACATCACGCCACCAATTTCACACACTCAAATTCGATCGACTTTACATTTATCCTAATTTACATATTTATTTATAATTGATTTCACTTTTCTGGTTCAGATAGCGTAAATCTCTCAAAACATTCATCATTATGCACATATCAGCCAACTTGAATTACAGGAAATAAAATCGATGTTTTCTTATGATTTTGACGGAACGAACAAAATGTTTAGATATAATGGTATGTTAATCACATTGTAAAATCAGATGAGATGAGTAGTTAGCATTTGTGACATAAGTAGTAGAGGTAGCAAGATAGAATCACTGCAAATATCATCCACACTCCTCACACATCATCTCAATTAGCATTTCATCAATGCCTGGTTGGTTTGGATTGATTTGCCAATGCAATTCTGGCTTGCTTTTATACCAAATCTCCTCGACTGGATAAAAAATTCACATTAATATATATATATTATTATTATTATAATAATATATTATTATTATAATAATATATTATTATTATTATTATTAGTAGTAGTAGTAGTAGTAGTAGTAGTAATAGTAGTATTAGTATTAATAATATCTGTGTAAGTTATGGTATCAGTATTACAAATTTATTATTTAATAATTCTCAGATTACTTCATTAGATCTGGTAAATAAATTTGACTCAAGCAGGGTGTCGTATTGATGGCCAAAGATTGAAATTTATGAACGATTTATCTAACTAAAGTATAATATGGTTCATTTTGTAACTTTAAGCTACTTTAAATAACAATTTTTACCATGCATGCCAGTCGCAACACTACAGTATGAATGAATAGAATGATTTTGCTTAAGACATCAATTCATTAAAACCGAGATACCATTGAGGTGTTTACTGTAATCTTTCATGCATAACTGTATAGCAGAGGCTCTGACGTATGGTAATATTAATGCACAGTTGATAAAGTAATTGATGCTGACAAAGCATGGTACCATGCAGAGGCGGCTGGAGTCAATATTCAAAATGGATAAGTGATTAATGACTGTTGAATGAATTACATCCTCATTTTTATTGTAGGATGATAAGTAAAACAAAATTGAGATAATAACCAGGGTTCTCATATTTTTATTAAAGCAAAAACAAAAAATGCTACATTTTTGCAAACAAAAATAAAGGTAGATCTCTTTAAAAGAATCTCCCAGTTGAGCCAAATCCCTTACCACCGCGTTCTTTTCGGGTCGGTTTAAGCTAAATTATCTCCCCCTGATAAAACAAAAAAAGAAAAATGCATCAATGAACATAGACCCAGTTCATTAACTGCAGTTTTTATATTTTATGTTATTATTATTTTTTTATACCATGTCATCCACCCAGGCCATCTCTTTGGGTAAAGAGCACTTCTCAAAAATGAGTTGTGCAATTTTCTCCCCCCTCTCGACAACGACGGGTACATCCCTCAAGTTATGGAGCACAACTTTAATGCTCCCTGTGTAGTCTGGCTCGACCACTCCAGCACCAATGATTATCCCCCTTAACGCCATTGAAGACTTGTCAGCTATACGACCATAATGGTGCAGGGGGATCTGCATCTCAAGCAGCGTGTCCAGTAATCCTGTCCCTCGGGGGGGTAGTATGTATTCATACGGACTGAAAATTAAAGATTAGGTTTCTGCTTAATACACCAAATACTTTAAAATACTACTACCAACAAAAATAAAATACAATTTGAATAGGTTAAAAAAAATGTATACCTGATTAAATCTACTCCCGCCGACCTATCGCTCCCAAGCACCGGAAGGATCGGAAGCAGTTCAACTTTTGATTGGGAATTAAGTTTTAAATCGTCCATAGTAGCTGTAAGTAGTTGGACGATTGGCGTATTTTCCGAAATTTTTTCGGTGTTGGTTAATTGGGATTGCGCCATGTTTTCGAGGATTGGATTGTCTGTCGAATGAACGTGATCTAATATGTGATGGATGCAGGAAGAGGACGGTCTTTTATTCAATTTTTCTCGTAAAAAATGCAAAAAGTTAACCATGGTGTTATTGCAGAACCCTGGAGTTATCTTATTAATAACGGAGTGTCTGTAGATTGCAATCAATCTACAGGCAGAGTAGTATGAATGAATCAAAAGCGTGGTATGATGTAAATCATTTTGTTTTATTTTGCTGTCTTTTTCGCTGACAAAGCTAGGTACCAGAAATCGACTGAATATGGATGAACTTGGTGTGATGATAAACTGTTGGGATTTTTCTTCAATTTTGCTGACAAAACATCATACCATGATGAGGTTGGCGTTTGAGTTAATAATCTCCTTTACTGACCGCAGTGGCTCAGTATTAAACTTTCTATTTAGCTGACAAAGCTAAGAACAAGAACTGAACTTAATCAGGGTGAGCCATGCGTGATCATGTTCGGATTTTTCTTGAATTTTTGCTGACAAAACATCACACCATGAGGTTGGAGATGAGTTAATAATTGCATATGATGACCTCAGTTGGTCAGTATTAACCTGACTCGTACTGAGATGAGGTTGGAGTTATAAGTTTTTGATGACAACGCAAGGTAGCGATTCGTCAATCCAGCCCCACGAATTTGTTCAATTGCATTTTTTTTTATTTTTTTTATTTGCAAGGGATAGGTTGAAACTTGTATGGTATAAATACCCGGTGAAAACCCACGCTTTATTCACAGTTGCTTTCTGGAAGATATTTTATCCCCAACTCCTAAAAACGTGAAAAAACTTGTAATCTATGTAAGAATTTTTATATTACTTCGAAATTATTTGTAACAACAATTTCATAGAGTGAGAAACATTCTTTTTTGTCATAATTCTAGGTGGAACTCCTGCCAAAAAATCTAACACTATGCAGGATGGAGCCGGACTTGCAGCGAATAAAATTGGTGAGCTTTTATTTGTTAATTATGCTTAGGAGGTAACTAATGGTGTAGTTTTTGGAGAGTGACAAAATGGAAATACTAACGTTTATGTTCTCTTCTATGTAGATAATGAGATGCTGTTAAAAATCCTGTCCCTGCCTGCTGAGAGTCGTGGAGAGCTAATGGGGGTTCTCTTCCCTACACCAACACCCCCAGTGACGGGCAGTTCGGGAGCAGCGTCCGACTTGGACAACCTGCTGGCCAAGTTTCGCAGCGGATCCGACGACACCGACGGGCCCGATGTGGAGTAAGGTGATCCATCTGCGGACCCCAACGCTGAAGGATCATCTCCGCCGTCAGCGGCAGAGGTGCTTAAAATTCTGTCGACGATTAAAGACGCCGAATTCGGCGAATTAATTTTAGAAAAAGCAGGGAACAAAGTTTGGTTTGTTCCATATGGAGCTAACCTTAGGTATACCATCAATAAGGAGTTGCAGGTCGATGTCAATGTTTTTAACTCCGAGGTATATATGCATTTAAAGAGGAAATTTCCAAAAGCGGGGAGGGGTTCTGACGCATTGTCTATTAGAGCAGGTTGTTTGTCTGCCATTGAATTTATTCTTGCTCATGCGTCAGAAAAACTCCTTCCACAGATCCAGGGGAAAAATATTGATCCCAATTTGTTCAATTTAGCACAAAAATTAATGCAAATGAAACAATAATTTAAAAGGATTTCTCAAAATTGATTGGAAATGAAAAAATAAATAAATATATAAACAAATAAATAAATAAAAATGATTTCTGTTTTATTTCTGCATTCCAGATATTACTATCACCTTTCACTCTGAAGCATTCGGCTTTTGATGGCCAGAGTCTCGCATTTCAAGCTCATCCCAACATCAGACAAGGCAAATATGATTTCGATGCATGCATTATTTACTTTTATGACCATTTAGTTACGATTCTTAAATTAATATTAAGCGAATGTGAAGGGATTAAGTATAAGTTAGTGATGAACGTCAAATTTGTAAAAGTTGAGTCAGCGGAAATTGTGGATGTGAGATCTGCATCTTTCTGTTCTGACTTTAGGAGCATATTTTCTGCATCGAACATATCTGACTCTATTTGGGATTGCATTAATGATATAAGTGAGAAGATAATTAGATATACTTTAAATGGTAGTGGATATATACTACAAAAAATTAAAGAGATCGAAGTTAATTCTGCTAGGTTCTCACCTGTAGTTAAATATTTAGGTGGGTCGTATATTCCATTACCTGATTGCTTAATCAGAAAAAATGGCTTGATTAATATTAGGAATAATGACCATCTGTTTTATTTGGTGCGTTGCACTACATTTGCATGTAACAATTACAAATGAGAGTACTGGAAAGCATCTAAGAAATCCTAAAACATTTCTGAAGTATTTAAAGTATTTTGATTTTTCTGGGTTGCATTTTCCTGTCCCTGTGGATGAAATTCCTATTTTCGAGAAGAATAATTCCATGTCAATTAATGTTTTTAGATTCACCCAAGATAGGACCATTTTGACTCAATATCTCACTTTAGAGGTTGAGTCATTTCATGTCAATCTTTTATTAGTTTCACAAGCACAGAACAAATTTCATTATGCATACATAAAAAATCTCTCTAATTTGCTTGGAAAGATGGGTTCCAAGGCGAAATTTTTTTGTTTTCGCTGTTTAAAGACTTTTGCTGATGACGATTCTCGCTTGCAGCACCAGTTAAATTGTGGTGTTGGAAAGTTTGCAGGCAAAACTGAGCTTCCACCTGATGGTGAAGTGCTCGCGTTTCGGAATCATTATGCTCTGATGAAATTTCCATTCACAATTTACGCGGATCTAGAATGCTTCCCTCAAAAGGTCAATAGAGCTGGCTTACATGATAATAATAATAATAGTAATATTGGCGAATACAAAAGTTCAACAACGATGTACCAAGTGCATGAACCACACAGCTATGGGGTCCTTGTCATTGACTACCAACAAAAAGCTATTCACAAAAAAATATTTTTCGTGGTTTGGGGGCAATGGCCAAATTTATTTCTCATCTCTTTGAGTTGTATGACATTCTGGATGCTCTTATGCGCCTGGATTTACCCATGACCTTTACCGCAGAAGATAAACTTAATTTCGATGCAGCAACTTATTGTTGGTTATGTGAGCAGCCGTTTGAAAGCAGGGAGTATATTACGCATTTATCTGCTCCCTTAGTGAGGGATTTAATTAAATGTCGTCATCATAGCCATTTAGATTCAAAATATGTAGGGACTGTACACTCACTCTGCAATCTTCAATTGAAATATAAAAATCGTGCAATTCCAATTTTGACTCATAACTTTGCCAAGTACGACAGTCACTTTATTGTGCAAGGAATTGATAGAGAAATTGATGTACAAGTTGTTCCAAGCAATTCAGAACACTATATTAGCGTAATTTTCGATAATAAGCTAAAGTTTTTGGACTCATTTCAGTTTTTACCGAGCTCACTTTCAGCATTAATTGAGGAAATTCCCCCTGACAATTTTAAAATAATTCCACAAATATTTGAACAGGACGTTATACCGTTTGTCTCTGGGAAAGGGGTGTTTCCATATGACTATGTCTCTTCATTTGAAAATTTTCTTGAGGACAAGCTTCCACCTCAAGCAGATTTTTACAACACTCTGAATGAAGAGGAGTTGTCTGATGAGGATTATGAATTTGCAGGAAAAATGTGGGATGCCTTCGAAATTAATAACTTGGGAGAATATTCAGATCTTTATTTGTTAACTGATATTGCAATCTTGGCAGAAATTTTTGAAAACTTTAGGGAATTATGCATTACAAATCATCGTCTAGATCCAGTGCATTACTACACGCTCCCAGGGTTTACATGGGATGCGTTTCTCAGGATGAATAAAACACCCATTGAATTGCTAACGGATGAAGAGAAGTATGAATTTCTGGAGGGGGCAATACGTGGGGGAATAGCCCAAGTCAGTAAACGCTTCGCAGAGGCGAATAACCCGATGATACCAGATACCTACAAGCCTGAAAAGCCCACGTCATACTTAATGTATTTGGATTTTGTAAATTTGTACGGTTGGGGTGGGCTCATGAAGATGCCTCATAAAAATTTTAAGTGGTTAGATGAGGTAGAGTTAGCTGCATTTTCAAAGGATTTGGCAACCATAGACCCCAAAGGTGACAAATGGTATGCAGTCGAAGTAGACCATAGCATAAATACCCATAACGATCTGCCTTTAGCTGTGGATCGGCGATGCATAACTTATGACATGCTATCGGATTTTCAAAAAAAATTACTATCCAATTTTCCCGAAATTAAATTGTCAAAAATTGAAAAGCTGGTTCCGTCAATTCTGCCAAAACGGAACTATATATGTTTACTGGAAAACCTGAAGTTTCACCTTCAACACGGGCTAATTTTAAAAAAAATTCACAGGGTACTTAAGGCAGACCAAGCTGCAATTTTACAAGAATATATCCAGTTTAATTCCATTAGGCGGGGTTTCGCCCTTACCAAGTTTGAAATTAGCTTCTGGAAAGCCCTCAACAATCAATTATACGGTAAAACAATTCAAAATGTTAGGGGACAGCTAGATGTTCGAATAGCAACTACCAGTGCGCAATTCAAAAAACTTAGCTCTAATTCGGCTGTGTATGACATTCGTCTTGTTCATGTTGGGAGTAAGTATGACATTTGATAGGAGTCACGTTCACCCTGCTCGCCCCGATGGCCACGGAGGGTCGCGAACAGAGTAATCGGCCGACGAAGCCTGCGTACTCGAGAAGAAGAAGAAGAAGAAGAAGAAGAACTCGTCGTCGTAAAAAAGAACAGACGCGTCCCGGCACTCAACCTAACCGTACACACTTTGGATTCGTCTCCTCTCCTCCTAAAAATAATTAATTCGGCAGTAACGCCTTCTGCGTTACGGCCCCCCGTTCGATATTCAAGTATTCATTTCATAAACGATAATTTATAAAGTATTCCGGTGTAAAAATACATATTTCACAAGGGTCT